CTTCTTCTATTTATATCTCTCTCTTTAGATATTGGATGATTTGGTAGATAAAGCTGTACGAGAGATCCGTGCTGCACGAAAAAAGGGAGAGCGCTCTACTGTTGTAGAAAAAGCGCGCGAACTTGGTATCCATAAAGATCATATCCTCTTCTGGAAGGGGGGTGATGTCACGGCTGCCATGCTTGTCGCCCGCCAGCGCTAGGGCGCCGGGTATTGATTGGCACTAGACGTTAGTAAGGGGCATGCTTGTTATATAGAAGCGACCCCAGGGCCCTCATCGTCGACTCTCCAGTCTTAGGATAGCACTCAACATGGGCTGAAGATCTCGCGCACTCGTCGCCTGCTTCCAACGTGACACGTGACAATAACGCTAATAAGAAGGAGTTAGTAAAGTTAGTTATAGCAGCTTTTCAAAGTGGGTTACTATTAAGAAATATGCTCTGTAGTATTACTAATATAATACAGACTATAATAATAAGGTTGATAGGAAGGCGAAAGCTTTATTACAAGATCTTAGTAAGGCTAAAGAGCAGATTTTTAAGAAGAATAATATTAGACAATTTGTAATAAATATGTAAGGCAATAGGCTACCTAACATAATAATAAACGATTATAAGGCTATAAATAAAAACTCAGAACAGCTATATAATCCTATTCTTATACTTAAAGGACATAGAAAATACTAGCAGCAAGTATAGTTTCTAATCATAAAAGAAATCTAGGACAAGCTTGATCCAAATAATAATCATTTATCAAGTAAGGAAAGGTTTCTTTTTCAATAAATACTATAGATTGTGACAGAAAATGTAGAGAAAGGCCTTCCTGCAAACCTTAGGCAGCTACTAATCACAAACATTATATATATCTAGAGGCAATATAAGAAAAGTAAGATAGACTAGCTCAGCGCCGAGATATACCTGAAAGCGTTATAAGCACGATACTAGTTTATAGATGAATATTACAAGCTTCTGCCCTAAAAAGGAAGAGTGTACCTTAAAGTTACTAACATAGAAAAAGAGTATCAAGAACAAACAAGTCTTGATTTAAAGACAGGAAAAAGAATAGGGGGTACACAGACAGAGAAGAGCAGAAGAAAGAAGACGCAAAAGTCTATAGCAAAGCATGTTACAGTGGATAAAGAAACACAATCCAAAAAGCGTCTATCAGTCAAGAATAGACACCTAGTAATACTAGATAACAGTGATGTTGAGATGTAAGACCCTAAAGGCGAGTATATAATGTTGGGGGCATATAATGAGCCCAGGGGCAACCCAAAAAGTCATGCGAAGCAGATACAGAAAGCACGCACCAAGAAAGAAGCAAGCACAAAGAAAAAAGCAAGTGTAAAGGAGGATCACACCTTACAAGTCCTTGTACCTATTAACCCATACTCATCTTAGTCTCGTCTTGGAAAGAGCGTTCTAATCTGGACCACCAGTAAGAGGCAAGAACGAACATTCAGACCCGGTTACAGATCTCAGACTCTGGAACCCGATACAAACGAACAACACGTAACTACGTGATCAAAAAGGGAGGCAGTTGTTACGCGTTTCAACCAGAAGGGGCCTGTGGTGGGCCAGAGATATGGGAGATGTTGCCGGACAGGATTAAGCAGTCAGGAGCGATTAGGCAAAATTTCGATACTATACCTGATCGTCGCAAACTGCCCTACATGAAACATGGCATATCTTGGCTGGCCATCAGCAAATGTGGACCCTCCCCAAGTCGCTATCCACCTATGGCCTACGAGGTATATTGGTTCGAGGGCCAGGACAAAAAGAAGGCGGTCATCTAGCGGACATAGTTGCAGAAAGTTTTTGGCGTCGAAAATGCCGATTTCCATCTGGCGAAAGCGATCACTCTTAAAGGCGAGGAGCCTCCTTTAGACATCTGGACCGTAATCAAACAGTATTAGGCTGACATTGAGCCAACAGTGAGAGTGCCCCCAAAAATGCTGCAGGCAGCATTCCCTTTAGCGCTGCCTCCGCCGCCATCCCACCAGAATACAGCCAAGAGCAAGGACGAAGCCAGGCTCCAAGACAAAATCGCATCTCTCAGCAGGGAGTTGAAGAGACTGAAGATAGAGGCAAAGAAGCGAAAGGGACAGAAAGAATCTGATAGGGAGGAATCCTTTGCTGAAGATGAAGACTCGGATGAAGACTCGGACGATGACTTGGATGAAGACTTGGATGAAGACTCGGATGACGACTCGGATGATGACTCGGATGACGGTGGTGACTCGGGCGAAAGCTCTGAGGATGAAGGTGGAACGGACTCGGATGATTTAGCAGACTCAAAAGGATCCAAGCTGAGTCAAGGATTGTTGAACAGACTTCAGGAATCGAGAAAGGGAATCAGAATCTGATTCCCGATTGTAGGTAGAATAGTGTTACTCCATATTTAGAATGTTAAGTGCTTCAATATACTTATTCGTGGCGTGAAAGTCCTTGAATCCTCTACCCCTTATCTCTACCACTTACCTGCGTTCTGTAGAGTGTTAGAATTTCGCTGCTCTTTCGTATGGAACGAATAATATCAAAATCGTACGGGCCACGTGATGCAATACACACTAAGACAAAGGCAGCCTGGTGGACAGAAAGATTAGATGGGCGACTTTTCGGTCGCCCAGCAAATGAGGCGATTCCCCTCCGCGTCCAGACCGCCCAAGTCAGCAAGGATGATGAAGGGGCAGAGGATTTGGGAAGGGGTATATTAAAGTCCTTGAATCCTTTATCCCTTATCTCTACCACTTACCTGCGTTCTGTAGAGTGTTAGAATTTCGCTGCTCTTTCGTATGGAACGAATAGTATCAAAATCGTACGGGCCACGTGATGCAATACACACTAAGACAAAGGCAGCCTGGTGGACAGAAAGATTAGATGGGCGACTTTTCGGTCGCCTAGTAAATGAGGCGATTCCCCTCTGCGTCCAGACTGCCCAAGTCAGCAAGGATGATAAAGGGGCAGAGGATTTGGGAAGGGGTATATTTTAAGCACACTTGTTTCGTGCGAGAGAACCGGGGGGGAAGAGGAGGTGGGGAGTTATGTTAAAAGAAATTTTCCTTGAGTAAGGATAAAAATAGAAAGTCCAGGAATAGAGCGTCTAAAAAAGGTAGCTTAATATAGACATAGTAAAAGAACTTACTAGTTTGTTACAAGACTTAAGTCTAAAGGACCAGCATGACGCTGAAAAAAAGCAATAATTATTGTTGAACGCTGTCACGTGACTCGCAGCAACGCTGTTGGTTTTCAAATTTCGCTCTTTTTTCTCGTATTGTGACCAATTCGCCACGCTGAAAAGCGCACTCTTTCGTACAGTTTCTACTACTTTGAGCAGTTACTTCGAACAGTTACTTCGCGCGGCGGCAAATTGTACTGTTTTGCTTCGAATGCTACGTTGCTAACGATAGTAACGATTAACGCAGCAAGAAATTTACTGCCTCTTTGAGCGTTCAATTTGTATATTTAAACGCTCTGCATTCCACTTATTAGATAGAACAACTTGCTATTAGACGCTATTCTTTCGATTAGTAAGCACAGTTCGACAATTATTAATGCCACTATTGACAACTACAGTTTCGAAACACTTAGCCTGGGCTGGCAGCGGGATACTTCGAATTCGACATCTTCGCTTTGAGGCACGCCCCGATGTCCGAGATCTTGACCTTGGACATGTTAACACGCTGATTCACAAATTTAAAACGGATCCATCTGGCTGCGAGCCCTTTTTACCACGCAATCGTGTACCAGTTATCTCTAGCAGGTCCCAGATCCGCCACATACTCTCTCACAACCGGGTTACTCTTCAACGTCTACGTTTAATCAACCCACTAAGGTTAGATCTCTTAACAGAAGAAGTAGTAATATGCCTGCATGGTTGACATTGTCTGGCTGCTACAGAGGGGTATCTTGAACCAGCTGAGCAATAGTAAAGAGTGGAATTTTATTATAAGGAAGGTTTGTTTGATCTTCGCTTATAGCGGCTGACACTACTAAAGACGTACAGATCTAGTAGGAAGGGGGCGGGACTTTATTCGGTATACAGACCAGGGAGAGCAGCCTTACAATCATAGAACTATCTTCCAAAATATCTGTCACCTTCAAAACAGCAAACAGAGAGAGTAAGCCGATTAGTGGTAAGCCAAACTTAGTGAGAGTTGCAGTCGAGATCTAAAGCAGTTTCAGGATGAAGAAATCTTTACGTCCTTCAGAGAAGCTCTTGATAATCTCTTACTGTACCGTGGCTTGTGGTATTCGTTCTACTTAGGTATCTTCTATCAGCTGCTTTCTATAAAGCTTTTGGAGGTTAGTTATTCTATTTTATTAATTTATGTCTTTACTAAATAGTATAGGAATATATACACTACCTTAAATTTATGTCTAATATTTAGGAAGAGATTTTGAGTAATATTAGCCCCTAGCACTTAGACTTAGAAATAGTTAGATACTTAGAAGATCGCTTGCCGTATTACTTGACAGAGGATTAACTTTTCATATAATTGTATTTTGAGTTAAAGCTACTTTTTCCTTCTATAATAAGTTTATCAATCTGAGATCAGATTCTGGTACAGATCTGCGTAATCAAAACTATTATTCCGTCACTACAGACGTTCTAGGAAGACACTATATAGCTCGAACCCTATTAGAAAATCTTACGAAAGCTTTTATCGCTAAAGACAAAAGGAACCCTTCAAAAGGAGCTTCGAAAGTCGTACACTCAACTCAAGAGCAGGCGGTTACCTGTCTAGACGACTGAATCAACAATAAATATACAACCAGGGATAGGTGGATCTGGCTTTTGGTTTGTATACCGTCAGTTAATTTTAATCGCCTAGCGCCATTTCCCTTGTATAACAGAAATCAGGCCGAGAAAAGGCCAGAAAAGGGACGAGATAAAAGCAAGGTATTATCATGTGTTTCAGGAAAAAGGTTCATGCTAGAGTCATCTTGCACGTCTGGCGCTTCAACTAGGGTTCTCGAACGACAGTATCAAAAAGCTGCTTAGGAGAGATTCAACCCCTGAAATGTACGTGGATCCTCTCCCTAAGGAAGTAAGTCCTCAGGTCACTATTAATACCAAGGAGCGGTGGCGAATTAAAGGTCGTTGCGGCCGAGTTTTTGAACAAGCCTTCCACAATGATCAAAGGTTTATATTCCTAGACTATATTTATTCTGACATTGAAATCAACCCAAGACAGGTAATTACATCGTTTAGGACATTTCGTCACATTTTTCACGCTTTCTTTGGGAGCTCTGTGCCATTTGCAGAGAGCTTTCATTCCAAGTCACTAAGGGAGCAATCTTGTAGCCTTAGTGCGCCACATTATTCTCCTGACATCTCGCCATCAGGATCGGACAAGTCTTGTACTTGATCGACTCCCGATTAAGACATCGATATAGTGAATCTAGACGATGGGGAAGACGGCGAAGACGGCGAAGATTTCGACGATGGTAGTAATGGTAGCAGCAACGGTAGCTATGACGATAGCGATAACAAGAACGACGACAACGTTTCCATGCAAGATGCCTCAAGCCTACCTGTCATACAGCAAGTCTAAGTCAGACAGGGAAAAAGCACTGAAGGTGGTCTTGCGCTAATCATGCCTATGCAAGATGCCTTAAGCCTACCTGTCGTGCAGCAGGTCAAAGTCGGACAGGGACAAAGCACTGAAGGTGGCCTTATGGTGATCATGCCTATGTACGGTATGATTGAGTCTTTGGCATCCCAGGGTGATAAACACTCCACTACCTTCTTCCCTAGTGGAGGAGGGACAGGTTCTACCAACTACCTCATCTCCACCTCTGGTGAAAATACCGCTTTACCTAAAGAAGCCTAGGATATTGCTTTGTTCCGATCTCCCACGAATGAGGACATCTCCATCTCTGCTGAAAATACCCCTTTTCCCAAAGAAGCCCAGGAGATCGTTTTGCCCTAACCTCTTACAAATGACGAAATCAACCCGCATGATCCTACTAAGCACACTACTATCTTTCCGGGTGCAAGAAGCCCACAGCCTCCGCAGTCTCTGAACACAGACTTCCAATCCCCTTCAGGTAGTCCAAAAGATTCCTACAAAGCATCGCCTTCGAATAGGCGTAAGCGAAAGTCACCAGAATCACTAATCTCATCGAATCCTGATGATCCCCTCACAATTCAGACCGGAATTAAGCAAGTTCTATATTTGCTAGAGCGCCTTCAGACTACCGAATCTCAGATTCCGCATTGTCTTGTGTTTGTATCTTCAACTGAGCCGACCAGGTATAAGTGGGTTTTCCATAATCAGATACGTAATTCGCAA